CTTTGCAGGCTGGCTTGTTAAACACTCAACTCATCTTCTAAGTTTGAGCGTAAATTGTGAGATTTGACGTTTGAGTTCCCAGCCTGACTGAGGCTCTTCTTCCTTGTGCTTTTGTGCCATCATTTCATCCTTTTGGTGGTAGTCCTCATCCTAGGTAGTCATTTATAGAGATGTCCATCTTCCTCTGTGACTGTGCCTTGGAAAGCAAGAGCACAGTAGGCTCATTTTTGTGCCTCTGGGGCTTAACATAGAAGAGGTGAAATGCCCCCAAAAAGAAGGAATTGTTCAATTACTGGATAGTTATATAATAGATCATTATACAGATTCTAACATCATGCTTTCCAGAAAATTTTAGTAATATGGAAAAATGTTTACTTCTTTGTGTGATAGAAAAAGAACCCAGTATACAAATTATATATATCACGATTCTAATTCTATATTCATAAAGATGGGTATATTTATAATTATAGGTATGTATTCATATATGAATATATGTGCAGATGGGTAAAAGAGTAGAAGAAAGTACACCAAAATCTCACTTGTTTTGTTTGGAATTGTGGAATTATATGCTGGTTTTTTCATACATATTTTTCTCCAGATTCTCTATAGTGAACATATGTTACCCTTATAATTAGAGTAGAAAACTACCATTTCAAAATGAATGGCAGATAGGACCTATTTTCTGATGTGGAGGAGGGGAATACACCTAACCCGGTTAAAATAAAATTAGGTGAAATCAAGCATTGTTTTAAGTGTGTGATGTTTTAACAAGAAGGAAAATAACATGGGAGCGTGTTTTTTAGTTAACAGTCACAGTGGCCTTCTTGGCACAATTTCATCAATAGAATGGGGGATATTTAAAACAGTTTGCCTCTTAGAAGATAGAGAGTAATATATATATATATTTTTAGTTTTTAAAAATTTTTATTTATTTTTGAGAGAGAGAGACAGAGTGTGAGTGGGGGAGGGACAGAGAGAGAAGGAAACACAGAATCTGAAGCAGGGTCCAGGCTCAAGCTGTCAGCACAAGGCCTGATGCAGGGCTTGAACCCACAAACCATGAGATCATGACCTGAGCTGAAGTCAGAGGCTTAACTGACTGAGCCACCCAGGAGCCCCAGAAAGTAATATATTTTCTAATTAAGGGCTATAAAGATCACAAAGATATGGGATTAGGTGTAAAGCTCGTCACTTTAACAGTTCTCTAGGGAGGGTATCCTCCCTGCACCCCATGCCCTGGAATGATTTACAGGAAAGTTAAGATTAGATAACCCTGGGCGTCAACAAGTCTTTGCTCTGAATACTGTGCTATAGCTTTAAAAAACAGATCAGAGAGGGGCGCCTGGGTGGCGCAGTCGGTTAAGCGTCCGACTTCAGCCAGGTCACGATCTCGTCACGATCTCGTCACGATCTCGTCAGGATCTCGCGGTCCGTGAGTTCGAGCCCCGCGTCAGGCTCTGGGCTGATGGCTCGGAGCCTGGAGCCTGTTTCCGATTCTGTGTCTCCCTCTCTCTCTGCCCCTCCCCCGTTCATGCTCTGTCTCTCTCTGTCCCAAAAATAAATAAACGTTGAAAAAAAAATAAAAACAAAATAAAAACAAAAAAAAATAAATAAAAAACAGATCAGAGAGATGATTAAAATGTGACTAACTTTACAGGTTACAAAGGAAAAGGATTGAGTAAGGATTTTTCCTCTTACCTAACTCTGTGGCATTAATTCTATGTTAACAAACATTTTAAGAAAAAAAAAAAAAAAAAAAAAACAAAACCCAAAAAACAAAACACGTTTTGTAGGAAAGTCCATGAAAGCTCCTAGACAGGTCAGGAAACCTATTCTTCTTGCTCCTAACTCTCCTAGAAGAAATAAATCAATAAAGCAAATGAGATGACCAGCCTAGTAGTTTGAGTGCCTATTAACTAGACAGTAGTCTAGTGTTTAATCTGGGGCCTTGGAATCTGACAGCCAGGGTTGAAACCTTGACTTCATCACTAATGATTGATGAACTGAGGCTCAGTTTCTCTACATGAAAAATATACCTACTCATAAAGTTATTAAATGTTACATGAGATGATATAGGTCAAGTGCTTAGCCTATGTGGAACATACCAAGTGTTTAACACTTATGGTAGCAACTTATGATACCTACTCACACTTCTAACCCACTCCACCATTTTTATGCAGATACTGCATTTTATTTGTATGCACATATTGTCACACACTTTAAATAGTTGTCCTTTATCTTTTCCTTTCTTTGGCTTGCTGTTATTTCCATGTATTGATCTCAGGTTTGGGCCTTAAATTAGACCCCTGTGACTCTGAGGCCTCACTGCTGGGCATTACCTCCCTTTGCTCCTTTTTTCCCTTCTGTCTCAAGGCCAAATTGATTTTTGGACTCTCTGTTCTACACTCCTGATCCATATTTAGCTTGCAGACCATTTTATAAGTGAAATTCCACAAATTTTAGTCATAAAGACCTGGAATTTAAATTCTTCATACCAGCTGATTTCAGTTAAGTTGCTTGTGTCTCTAAGGTTGAGTATACATTTTTATCATCTCTAAGGACAATAGTACTCACCTCCTGGACCAATTAAGAGGATTAAAAGTAAATGATCTATGTGAAGTTCTTAAAGGAGACCTATATACACAGTGATTTTTCTCCTATTCCTTCAGAAGTCACTATTGTAAATGGTTTGTTTTCCTTTCCTTATGAATATCCTGTTTTCTGCTTATATCAGTGAGACATGCTAACATGAAGACTGATGCATTAAAATACTACTTAATTGAGGACATCCCCCTTATTGGGAACTCATGACCATTCTCTCAGGGCCCAGGATGAAATTTACCTTGTCATTTTAATCCTCTGGGAGAATGAGGACAAGGAAGAAGGAAGAAAGGAGGAAAGTGGCGATGTCTGACCCATCTTGTGCCCAGAGCTACTTTAGTGAGGAGCATGAGACTGGTTTTGGTTCATAAAAAAGTAGTATATAATGAACAATGGGACATGTTGGGAAGGCTATTGCATTTATTAAAACAAGAAATGGAAAAGACAACTTTTTAAGGCTTTATAGTTTCCAGATGGACTATTTGAGGGAAGATTCCTGGATATAAATATCCCACAAATTCCAGAAACTTGGGGATTATACAAAAGCCATGTGTTTCTAGGTATGTCAGACACCACCCTTACAACTGCCCAATTACATGAACTTTACATTTCCCCACATGAGCTTTTGAGCTAAACAATGAATTTGTCGTTGATTTTACATTAGCCTTCTATGGTTTACTGCTGAGGAACGAGCTTCGAATCTCCTGTACAAAAATGTTTAAAACTTTAATTATGTGCGCAGGTAACAGAGAGGTGAGTATAGGGAGAAATGAAGATTAGAATTAAAATTTAGCCTGCTGCAAACAGTTTTGATGTGTAGTTCACAGATCTCCAGCACATAAAGCTTGTTAAGGGAGAAGAGACAAGGAAGGAAGCAGGAAGCAGAGAGAAGCACTTTAAGACATAAAGCTTTCAGTGTCCTCTCTCATTAGCTCTCCTTTGCTTTCTTTCTCTGCCTTACTCACCGTGTACCCTGTGACCTCTGGTCTCTGCCCTTTCAGATGCTCCTCTCCCCACTTTAGAAGGGGGTTGGACAGGGGAAGAGGAAACAAGAAGCGAAGAGCCCCATCATGATCATCCACTTTATGGTGTCACACAAATGACTACGCCAGTGGGCCTTAGTTTCCTCATCTGTAAATTGGAAAGAATAATACCCAGTTCACCTGAATAATTTTGGGGATTAAGTTAAATCCTCAACTTCTCAGGGTCTTTAAGACAGAATAGTACCCTGAGATATGCCAGTGGTAAATGGCTGTGGGAAATGCTATGTACTTTATATTAGTGCCATCAACTCTCCGAGGAATTCTACAATACAAAAAACCCCATTTAGTTCTGTTAACCTGTGCTGGGCAATGCTGAACCAGCAAGTACAAAAATAATGAGTTCCATTAGCATCTCCTTATTTTTACCATAGGTCCTAAGTTCCCGACTTACAGTTCAGAGAGGAGTTGACCAGTGCATATGGGGGGCAGGAGGAAAGGACAGAGAAACCCTGCCCATCTCAGATGAAAGCCGAGATTTTTGGCCAAGATCATCCCACAGCTCTGGAGGGTGATCCTAAAATTCATCTTTAAAGAAACATTTTCCCTCCAGTTAATCCTAGTTAATAAAGTTAATATTTGCAACCTGGGTAGGAGGTGAAAGAATTGAGGTGGAGAAAGCATTGTCACTTATAGTTAGGATGCGTCAGAAGTAAATTCCCCTTTTCAATGGCGAGTAAGGCAGAAAGTATGGTTTTCCTGGAGATAAAAAATGTTTTTGTCCCCCCACTAATAAAAACAAAGCAAAAAAACAAAAAAAAAAAAAACAAAGCAAAGAAAATGCTTTGGAAGATGAATGCAGAGATAGAAAGCAAGCAGCAAGTACAGTTGATTGTGGTGTTTTTAGCAAATGAATAAATAGAAAACCACATGAGAAAATAATGGACCTTGGTAATATTCATTTTGCTAAAAAATGGATGGAGAAGATTCCTTTTTGCTAAACACACAGCCAAATTAGAAAAACTGATATTCAAACATTGCATTTGTTTTTATATTCATGGCATCAGTTCCATTTGTCATTAATTAAACAGGCAAATTTGAGAATGTTTGTTTTAAGAAACTCCAAAAATAACCTTGTAAAATCAGGTTAGAGATATATTAAATGTCCTGAGGGCAACAGGAAGCAAAAAGGAAAATATGAAATTAGAAAGTGACCTGTAATAGTCACTTCACTGGAGGTGATATAACCTCCATTATCAATTAGGAACTACTTGGATGCCTAATTTCACCGGCTGTCTAACTTATCAAATTAAATTAAGCACAAATGAAGAAATACTTGGCTAGGGAAAAAAGTACCATGCCATTTTGCTTTTTCTCATCTGAAAACCAACCAACCCAATTAGCACAGACAAGGAAAAATAAGCTCAAAAATATTTTATTGGAGGAGGAAAAGTTAAAAGGGATTATTTCCCCCAAACTGGCCTGGCAAAACATAGTTGACCAAAACACTTGGATTCCCTGGTGCTTGGTATATATTCAGAGTAGAGAGATGGTTGTTTTCCTTCATATATTCCACTAATATTTGAGTGCTGATTACGTGCCAGGTTCAAATCATTGCTTTATAGGACCAATTATGCCTCCTCTTTCCTCCCTGCTCTAGGCCTAATGCTCTAGTGCCTTTCCCTTCATTGTTTGCAGAAGTACCGGAAAATTTGTTAGATGGTGTACTACTCTCTATAGATATTTGAAAACAAGATTCCCCCAACAGGAAACTCCCCAACTTTGGTTGCATCCCCAGCAACTTCACTTCTGTCTCCTACGTGTACTTGGTAATAACAACAATGTAGAAGCTTTCTGGACCTCCTGGTTCTGCCCTTGTGCTGAATTTTGTCCTGAGTAAATGAGAACTTGAGGATATAGTGCATTTTTGAAGCCATATAGCACCAGAGGTTGTTGAGAACTGTAAGCGATGAGCTCTGCAGAGGAATCTGGAAAGCTGCTGGACCCAGAGCAGTAGAGTTCTCAGGGGGGCAGGAGAGTCTGACCAGGGCAAGTTACAGTTCTGTGGGCATAGATTTTTCTCACCAAGAAGCAAAGGCCGTGGGAAGAGATGCTTGTAGCTCAGACACTCGTTTTTCTGCTACAGCTCACTTGCTACAGCATATGAAAAAATCCCCCCCCCCTTTAGAAATGGGGAAAAAATGATCTTTTTTTCTAAATGATTCATGAAACAAGGAATGGTACAAAGAAAGAAATCCTTTCAGCTTGCTTCACTTGCGTGTATTTTTCTGTTCCCTTCTTGCTTTTGCTCAGCTGGCACCTGCTGGCTCTCTGTCCCTTTTTACAATCTTATCATTCCTGGTGTGATGGCATGTCCTGGAAGCAGGTGCCATCTGGAGAAGCTTCTCTTTATTTCTCTGCATTATTAATCTGCATTCTCAAATGGTTTCTTTCTCTAACTATACCTTCAATTCCCGCCCCCCCCCCGCCCCCGCCTCCAACACACACACTTTGTGGAACTGACCTTTTACCTAAATCTAGCTTTTTCTGTCCTAAATTTCACACACACGTTTTCCAGAAACACTTAATTCTGCCAAACTGTCTGTGTTAGTTGGCTGAAAAATGCCAAATGTACAGAAATTGTTCTGTTTTCTAGTAATCATTTACTTGTCTCAGCAGATTTTTCCACTGGATATATGGGTTTTAATATGGGTCTAAGCATATAGATAACCATGAAAAAAGGAATAGCATGTAATACATTTTGAAATACTGCATAGCTGCATATTTTAGACTTTGATGGAGAGCATGGAAAACAGTAAAAAAAAAATTGGATTTTAACAAAACCCTTACAGAAAAAAATGTGACATATCTATCACTTCATCAATGTGTATATCTCTAGTTTTTCAAATCACGTTTAGTTACGTATGGGATACAGTAATATGCCTTTTTGTTCATAAGAATGCTTCCCTCCATTAGTTCTGATCAGTAATATTCAAGATATAGAAATCCTTTTCATTAAAATATCTTCACTAAAATAGATATTTCTTCCCTTAGAAAAAGAATTCAAAACTTTTAGGGCCTAGTTTTAAAAAGCATCACACTATACTTGATTTATTTTGGTTGTTTGTATTAGGGATGTGAAAAATAATCACCACTGCCACTAGCAAGAACTATAAATGATACATTATTGCAAGTGTTCTAAAAAAATCAGAACAAAACTAATTTATTATAGTTCTGTCTTCATTATACACCACATGTTGGTGAGTTAAACACAACAAAATTGTCTTTTCTTTTAAAAGTGTCTACTAAAGATAAAAAGAATAAGGTAACAATTAACATGTAGATTGTTACATAAAAAATCTGATATACATATTTCTATTGCCTGTTAGCTTGTTCTAAGCCTCTTTAACTATTACAAAAAAGGAAAAGTCATTGTTCAAAGGCAAACATTCAATTCAGTTGATACAACATTACAGTACAGTCAACTAACATCATTCAACGAAGGTAACAAGTCTAGCCTTAGCTTCTTGAGTTAAAAAGTCTGTAGACCAGATTGCTACAAAAGGTTCAATGCTGCTTCACAACTGTGTTAGCTTTTTGGAGGACTTTGTACTTTCTACTGATGGCTTCAGAAGGGGTCATGCTATTGGTAAAAGCACAGGGAACCCCAACCTGTCATTAATCATTTTATTGAGCATTGTAGTTAGAACAGCATTATTGAGTTTAGCACAACAACTAAAACAAAATAATAATAATAATATAATAATAATATAATAATAATCATAATAATGATAAGAATAAAAACCAAACACAAACTGGAAGCCTAGAGATGCTGCCAGCCGTGTCAAACCCTTGCGATACGCTATACTAAAAAAATTTGAAATATCCACCCGTCCTCTCCACTCTGCCACAAACTAGCAAAGTCAAAAATACAAAAGTCTTCAACTTGTTACTTTTGCAGAATAAAGCAAAAACGTCTTTGTGCTCCTTACTACCAGAAGCAAAATATCCACTGAGTTACCACATGTAATAGCTTCTGGATGTGTCAACCTGGGTTGGCTTGGTGTCTGCAGAACCATCTTTGTCTTTCTCACTGTCACCTTCCCAGAGATTAATGAGTGGTGGGTACAGCTCATTTAGTGGGATTGAAGAAGTTTTTTGCATATACTTTTTTAATGAGTGGTGGTAGTTTTTTCTCTTAAACCTTTTGGCAATGTACACAGCAATAGATGCAAGGCTAATGACGGCAAACATGGACCCCATTACTGCAGCAAGGGCTGTACTTGTTTCTTGATCAGAAATGTCCAGTGCAAAGGCGGCATTTTTAGTTGTGACATTCACACATGACTTCTGAGTCTGCTGATGAATATTAGACACTGTGAGACACACTTCATAATCTGTAGAAGGCTGCAGATGTGTTAGGTTGTACTCATGAACATCTACCGGGACCCTGGCAGTATAGGTTATGTGAGGATTGTCAATCTTCATGGTGGCAGATGACCATTTTAAGTTTGATGTCATGACATTGGAATTGACTTTCCAGGACACTAAGATGGAATGAGATTCTGTCTGCTTGACATATATTTTCAGCACCTGGGTACCATCCAGAAGGGTTCCATTAACCTTAATTGTCACTACACGTGTGTCAGCCCCTTCAACATTCTGGGCGACACAAGTATATCTTCCTGAGTCTTCAATTTGTATGTTAGATATTTCTAAAGTACCTTCGCTACTTAGCTTGTATTTATCTGAAAGTGTATCCACAGTTATCTTATTTCCAAGAGGAGTGACCCAATAAATTTCGGGTTCTGGCTCAGCCATGGCCCGACAATCTAGGAAAACTGTTGTGCCAATATCCATGTTTAAATGATTTGGGAATGTGTCATGAGCTATCATTGGGAGGCACTGTTCACTTGAATCTTGGATTAAAACTTCCTTTACCTGCTGCCCTCTATATTCAGGTGGCATGGCACAGAACATGGACAAAGGCTCCATGAAGCGGATGTTTGTTTTGTTGGAGTTAATCCAGTGGATGACACAGTCACACCTCAGGGGGTTGCTATGGATACTGATCTCACGAAGATTGGGAAGGGATTCTACTGTCTTTTGGTAAACAGCATTCAAGGCATTGTTGTTCAACATCAAGCTTTCCAGGGCAGGAACACTTCGAAAAGCCAAGCGGTGGATATAAGATAATTTGGGGTTATTGGTGGCTTCTAACTTTGTGAGTTCAGGCAAGTTATCAAGGGCATAGCGATCCACAGAAACAAGTTCCCCCATATTGTTGATTCCTAGTTCTTTTAGCCGAAGCATATTTTTGAAGTCCCCTTCTTGGATTTTGTGGATGGGGTTTTTGTTGAGGTCTAAGAATTTTAAATTTGGAACCTTTTGCAGGGCAAGTTGGGGGACCTTGACCAGTTTGTTATCATAAAAAGACAGGCTTTCAAGGCTATCCAAGCCCACCAAGGCATTTCCAGGAATATCAGTGAGATACATTCCTGCCAAAACCAGGCTTCTCAAATTTGAGAGGGGTTTAAAGTTCATATCCAGAATTCCAATCACAGGGTTTTCCCCAATCATGAGAATTTCCAGGTTGGGTGTTGAATCAAACCAGCGGCTATCAATAATTTTCAATTTATTGGAGTTCAAGTGGAGCCTTAAAAGATTTTTTAAGCCTGAAAAAGCATTAGCAGAAATAGTGCTAATCTGGTTATGGTTGATATAGAGTTCTTGAAGGTTGCTGAGGTCCTGCAGACAGTAATCAGTCATTTCCGTAATCTGATTTTCCTCCAAATGTAGAGTAGTGAGCTGGGTCAGGTTTGCTAGCCCGACCTCCTTAATATTTGTGAAGTTGTTTTGGGAGAAATCTAGCTCAGTCAAGTTGAAAAGCTGCTGGAGCTCATCCACGGTCTTTGCGATGTTATTGCTCTGTAAGAGAAGCACTTGAGTATCACTAGAAAGGTTGCTGGGAATCCTTGTTAAGCGGAGATCATTGCAATCAACAGTGGTGGCTTCTCTGTATGTGGATTGCGGGGTGAACCAGGGCCTAATTTCACATACGCAAAGTTGTGGACACTCACTATTTTGTAGGGAGTACCCAGTTAATGAAGTCATTAGCAAGCCCAGCACCAACTGGCAAGCTGCTAACACAAAGCTCATTCTAGCCATGCTGGCTTGCTGAGCAAGCTCAATCCTGACACTCCTAAATTTTAACAAAAGGTGAATGCTAAATAGTGATAGGTAGAATAGGAAGCAGAAAATGTAAACATTCAAGCAAAGTCTTGGTTGAGATGGGTACAATTCTGGGGTCTGAAGGGATGGTTTTCAGAAGTTTTCAAAAGGCAAGAAGCAACTGGGAGTCTTTTAACTGTGTTTCTCAATCCCAGGCATGCCCACAGCTCTGTGGTAGAAGTTACTTCAGCCAAATCAAAGTCTGGAGATGTGCCTGAAAATTAGATTAGGACAGATGTTATGTTTTTTCCATATACTTGGTACATTACAGCCTTTCTTTTGTCTACTAAAAAGGCATAATCACAAATCTATTAACAGAATGTTCAAAATAACTACACAAGCTTTTAAATTACAGTATACTTTCCTATATTTTCCTTCTTACACTAAAACTAGTTACCACTTTTACAATTTAATTGGGTAAAACCCTCAAACACACATACACACACACACACACACACACACACACACACACACACCAAGGACACTCAGAAAAACACACAGATATCATTTCTTTAAAAACAAAGTTGACTTGAGAAATTGCCTATTTAAGCCTCCAAGAAGAATCAAAAGGTCAAAAGCAAAACATGAAAGGCAGTTTATAAAACACTCAAAGTTCATTTTTAGTTTTTTATATTTTAATAGTTGTTTTTATTTGTTTTCAGAAGTTTTTCTTTTCCAAATGGTATACTCTGAAGACCTATTCAGTCAATGCTTTTCTAGCTCAATTATTCTTATGCAGCAAAAAATTAATCTAACTCAACTACAAAAAGAAAATATCAGGGGCACCTGAGTGGCTCAGTTGGTTAAGTGTCCAGCTTCAGCTCAGGTTATGATTTCACACCTCTTGGGTTTGAGTCCCACATCAGGCTCTGTGCTAATAGCACAGAGCCTGGAGTCAGCTTTGGAATCTGTGTCTCCCTCCCTCTCTGCCCCTCCCTCACTCACACTCTGTCTCTGTCTCTCTCTCTGTCTCTCAAAAATAAATAAACATAAAAAAAAGAAAATGTCAGTTTTTCTTATATTCTAATGGTCACAGCTAATCTTGGACTGAATAAAATAGTCAAAGGACTTTACCCCACTATTACCACTGGTCTTCATGAAAAACAAATGTATTTACACATTTAATTTCACCAATCTCATGGGAATGTCACTAGCCACTTAGGAGTTATAAAGCATGGATATACTGGATATGTTTCTTTTAGTGGAGGGGATATGTTCTTTAATACATTGAAGCCTCAGCTTCTTTATATAAAATGGGTTTGGTCATTAGGATTATTGAGAGAATTCAAGGAATTGATATAAAGCTCTTAGTGTAGTGTTTGACAGATATTAAATGTTCACAGAAGTTAATTATATTTATTGACATCTTACTATATCTCTTATCCATACTAGTTCTAGCTAACTAGTGGTTGTTGGAGAATAGGTAAATGAAGGAAAGCTGGGGACATTTGACTTATTCTGTCATAATCTAATGGTTTGAATGAGGTCTTCTGAGGTCAAGTATGTATTGCTTACCTGCTTATAAAAGATAATATTAGCAGTTAATGGTTCTAGTTTTCTGGATTCCAATCAGGTATAAAAAGCCACTGAGGATCCGTGGTCTATCTTGCTTTCTCAAAACTAGGCAGTTACTTACTAAGATATTAAATGTACAGTTACATGTTTCCTTACATTTGTTTTTCTATATTGAACTTCAGCTTTAAGTATTGAAGAACTTTAGTGGCTGGTGTTTTCTTTAGCCTCCTAAAATTACTGTAAGGATTCAATAAAATACAGCACATAATGTACTTGAAGCCTGGTGTCCAACACATAGCAAGCTTTCGATTTGTATTTGGTGCTATTATCTTTGAACTTTGCAAAATACAGTTTTCTTTGTGATTGACCAAGAAGCAAACTAATACAAATAGCCAGTCCTAAAAGTTCTGTATTTGTCATATTTTAGTAGAAAGAAAGCAAAGTGCTATATTTTTCTTGTTGTTTTAGAAAATATGCAAACCAAGTTACTGGTCTAACAAGATGGTATTTAGAAAAAAAATCACCTGATCCATATTTGGCATTTGGAGGTAGGAGAAGGAAATGGATGTGTTGCATAATGCTGATGCTGGATACTTTCTCTTCCATGTGGAGAGGCAACACTGGCATTCCCCTCACCCTAATCTGGTTCCTTTACCATATATTATATATGTACAAAACTTTTCAACATTATAAAATTACCTGATTCTGACTTTTATCAGGAAAATCCATAAAATAAAAACATACCTCAGAGAGCAATAATTTTCCAAATATCATTGCCTCCAGAAATTTATTCCTCTTTTTGTTTCCATTCAGAGTAATCCTAAAAGAGGTACAATGACCACAGTAAGTTTTCTGTTAAGTAAATTTCTGCCACATGTTATTGCTTAATCTTAATTCAAAATAGAAAACCCAAAGAATAAATCTACTTTTCATAACTCTGAGATGGAATTTCAATTAACATTTATGTTTTGACTGAACTTAAGGAAACATAGCTAAAAGTAAATATGTGCTGAAGTTGTGTGAGTCTCCCAAAACCATCTGTTGCTACTGAAAAATATCTTTAATGGGGCTATACTTCGAATATTGTCACAAGTAATGTCTCCATTTTAGTTTAAATTATATGGTTTGAAGTAATTGCATTGCAGTACTCAAATCTATTTGACATACACATACCTCTTTAAACAAACAAACAAATAAATAAACAAACCACACAAGTTGAGAATGTTAAATACCATATCAAACATAGAGGGAAGACTTTTTCCTTCCCCAAACCTGCATTTGGCTTCTTTGAGAATGGAGAATGAAACTTCCTTGACATAAAAGGAGGTGTTTTAAGATGTTTCTAGTTGTGTACCATTCTGAATTCTTTTTAACATATTTTCCAGCCTAATTTTTGAACATGACATTAGCCAGAGAACAAAGCTTAAAAGAATGCTTAAACCATTTTATATGTTTAAAACATAAGGCATGTCTCAGGAATTATTCACTAATGGTGTTTAAAAGTAAATCCATTATCACAACAAGAGAAGAAAACTACAGACCAATGTCCCTGATGAATATTGATGCAAAACTCGTCAACAATACTAGCAGATTGAATTCAACAGTATATTAAAAGGTTTATACACCATGACTGAGTTGGATTTATACCCAGAATGTAAGCATGGTTCAATATATGAAAATAATTCAAAGTAATAGACCATATTAATAGAATGAATGACAAAACCCACATGATCATCTCAGTTGAGGCAGAAAATGCATTTGGCAAAATTCAACACCCTTTCATGGTGAAAACACTCAACAAACTAGGAATGAAAGAAAACTGCCTCAATATACTAAAAACATATATTAAAAGCCCACAGCTAAAATCATATTCAATGTTGAAAGAGTATAAGCTTTTCCTCCAAGATCAAGAACAAAGTAAGGATGACCACTTTAACCATTTCTATTCAACTTAGTATTGGAAGTTTGAGTCAAAACAATTAAGCAAGAAAAAAAAAATAAAGCATCCAAATTGGAAATGAAGAAGTAAAATTGTCTGCAGATGGTATGATTTCACATGAAGAAAATCCTAAAGATGTCACAAACCCCCCCTAAACTGTTATAATAAACAATTTCAGCAAAGTTGCAGGACACAAAATAAATACATAAAAATCAGTTGTGTTTTTGTATACTGTTAATGACCAATCCAGAAAGGAAATTAATAATCCAACCTACAATAGCATCAAAAAGAATAAAACACTTGGGAATAAATTTAACCAAGGGGATGATTTGTGCACTGAAAACTACAGAGCATAAAAGAATAAAACATACAAATGAATAGATATATATCCCATGTTCATGGATTGGAAGACTTAATATTGTTAATATGTCTATCCTACCTAAAGTGATCTACAGATTGAATGTAAGCTGTGTCAAAAGCCCAACAGCAGTTTTAGCAGAAATAGAAAAAAAAAATCTTAAAATTCATATGGAAATTCATGAGACCCTGAATAGAGCCAAAACAGTCCTGAAAAAGAACAAAGTTGGAGGCCTCATCCTTCATGAGTTCAAAACATACAATAAGTCAACAGTAATCAAGATGGCATGGTACTGGCATAAAAGCAGACATATAGAAGAGAGCACAGAAATAAATTCTCCTGGACATGATCAAATGACCTTGGAATTTTGTGCCAAGCCTACACAATGAGGTAAGGATACTTTCGCCAACTGTTATTGGATATCCACATGCAAAAGAATGAAGTTGGACCCTTACCCTCCATCATATACAAAAATTAACTCAAAATGAATTAAAGACCTAAATGTGAGACCTAAAACTGGAAAACGCCTAGGAAAAGACAGAGGAGAAAAGCTTCAGAACACTGATTTCTTAAACACCAAAAACAAGCAATAAAAGCAAAAATAGCAAATATGACTAAATCAAACTTAAAAACTTCTGCACATCATAGGAAAAAATCAACAGAGTGAAAAGGCAATCAACAAAATAGGAGAAAATATCTGCAAATCATATATCTGATAAGGGACTAATGTCCAGAATACATAAGGAACTCCTATAACTCTGTAACAACAGACAATTCTCCAAAGATATCCAACTGGACAATAAGGACATGAAAAGATGCTTAACATCACTAATCATAAGAGAAATACAAATCAAAACTACAGTGATATATCACTTCATACCCATGAGGATGACTACCATTAAAAGAACAGAAAATAACAAGTAAAATGATGCATCCACTATAGAATGTAGAATGGCTGTTCTGCAATAAATTAAAAATATAATTACCATATGATCCAACAACCCCACTTCTGGGTATATATCCAAAAGAATTCAAAGCAAGATCTTGAAGAGATAGTCACACACCAACATTCAATGCAGCACTGTTCACAATAGCAAAGAGATGGAAGCAATCCATATGTCTACTGGTGGATATATGGAAAAAGAAAATGTGACATATACACAAAATGGAATATCATGCAACCTTAAAAAAAGAAGGAAATTTTATCACATCTATGATTTGGGTGAACTTCAAGGACAGTATCCTGGATGAAATAAGTCCATCACAAAAAGACCAATACCATGATTCCACTCATATGAAGTATCTAAAGTAGTCAAAATTATAGAAACAAAAAGTAGAATGTGGTTGCCGAGGGTTGTGGGAAGGAGTGGGGGTATTTGTATTTACTAGGTATTTAAGTTTTATAAAATGAAAAAGCTTGAGAACTTTGCTAGACAACAATGTGAATATATTTAGCACTACTGAACTGTATACTTAAAAATGGAAGATGGCAAATTTAATGTCATTTTTTATCATTAAAAAAATGTAAAACCATTATACTTCAGGCCTACTTTGTCACATATATACCAATTAATTATCTTAAATTCTGCAACAAATTGAAAAATGGCCAGTATAGATTTTTTTAGTGGAATTGTTTTGTTCTAGGGCTTACTGGACTAAGTCGGTCAAATGTGAGAAGAAAATGTCCTACTAATTACCAGAATGATGTTCCACAAAGAAGTCTGGCAGTTTAAAGAAACAATTCCTTAAGTGAGAAACCATGGTTTTAAAGGCCCAGTATTGGCAAGGGATGCATTTCAAACAAACAATTACATAATTACATTTGATACTTCTTTTTCCAATAAGATATGTTTGGGACACTCTGCGCTGAATATAAAATTCCAAGGGAAATGGAGAGCATGGTCATAACCATCAAGTGAATTTGACACTGATCCCTATTTTCCCATACAATCATGAGATGGGATGTCAGTTTAACAAAATCACAGTATTTAGTATAACTTGGGTTTGGTTCCTTATGCATTAAATTCTTACAAAGTTGGGTGAAAGAAAGAAGCAATCACAATAACATGATGATTAAGTTAATTCTGGTTATATTAAAACCCAGATAGCTCTCTGTTTGTAGAAATAATTGTGTTGGGGGATCCAGTGATCTGTATTCAGATTCTGACTTATTCACTTATTAGATGTATTACCCTGTGTCAACTATGAGAATTCTGTCTCACTTTCTATGCCTAAATTAAGACTAATTATACATACTTCATATATGAAAATTATGATAACTAAAGAGCCTGGGAAAGAGTCCAGCACAAAGTGAGCCCTCAGATACTTATTTGAATCTCTGGAACCTCATCAAGTTTGCCATTAAATTTCATTCTCACTCTGCAGGGCTATTGGGAGGTAATGAATAAGCAAATCTCTTTAAGACCTTTGGGCATGACAGGTGTTTGGAAAAAAGTCATTGTTTCTTTTTACCATTTCCGTTATATTTCCAACCAGTATTATTGGAATTAAGTGTTAGAAATTCAGAGACCAAATATGGCCCTGTGCTAAATTAAAACCCTATGGAAGCAAGCAAATTATGAAATACAAACCTCCAACCTAGAAATTAACATCCTTTTATAGACAGTAGTCACAGCAATAAAAAGCTTAATTTTTGATCCCCTAGAAAATGAAAATGCCCTCTTAGGACATGTGCATTTATGTATGCTTTCTTTGGTGGTCAAATTCACACTGTATATGTAATGTTTAAAGAAATCATTTTTTAGCTCTATTGGTCCCCAAATAGATCCAGAGCTAATGCAGCATTCAAATTTGCTTATCTTCTTTTGGGCATGGCTTAATAATAGGACAATGGGATTTTTGTTCAATGAAGCTTTCCTTCTGGTTAAAAAATACATTGTCTCCTTATAAATTCTCCCTGTAGCCACTCTTGTGGGGGGAGGGGAGCAAGGTAGAGCTAGGTAGACTCCATTCACTGGATTGACCTCCCAAAGGTAATTTCCCTGTGTGGAAGGCCAGCATGACTTTGCTTCAGGTGCACATGGCTGATTGTTAGGCTCAAAAGGCTACATTAGCTTTTTGAAAGAGGAGTTTAGCAATTGAGTTAAGAGTGTGGCTTCTGGAGACAAACCTGGTTTCAAATTCAGTTCTGTGACCTTGGGCAAGTTATTGAAGCTTTCTTTCTGAGTCTCAGTTAACTTTTTTTTAGAAAATGAAGATCATAAAACCTACTTTGCAAGGGTGGTGAGAGAATTAGAATGACAAGTTAAATGTAAAGCTTTTGGCAGAGGGCCTGCCACATAGCGAGTGCCTGATAGATGTTACACATTACTATTTACAGGTTTGATGTCTCATTGGATCTGAGTCTTTTTAATGGGTTTGAGTATGAAAGAAAGGAGTAGGTAGTTGAAATCAGTACAGGGTACCTTTTGTAACATCAGCAACTACGAGTTCTGAAAACAGCCTGGCCAGAGACAGAGAGAAAGAGAGAGAAAGAAAGAGAGAGAGAGAGAGAGAGAGAGAG